TATCTTCTTACGAAGTTCCGGGAGCAGTTTCACTGTACTGCAAGACTAGGGGATGCACCTCTAGAAAGAATATCAGCGGGATTAAGCTTGGTGGGCACATAGCGCCACTCCATCCCTGCCGTCAACTCTTGAATGGTGCTTATGCGATTAGCTGCGAAAACCTGGAACCTTGATGGTTCGTCATGGATCCATGATAGCGCGACTGCTGATCCGACCAACAATAAAAAGAGCATGTAAAATGTTCCATTTTAGCCACCTCGTGAATGAGCTGGGCCAGTAATGCCGCACCGCAGAGCTCCAGCTTAGGTACTGTGGGAGTCTTGAGAGGCGCTATACGCGACTTCGAGCAAAGTAAATTCACCTGCTTCTGTTCCTCATTACCGGATACTACGTATAAACAAGCTCCATACGCATCGACGCTGGCATCGCTGAAGCCATGAACCTCGACAACACCCTTTGGAAGGATTGACAACCGAGGACATTTAAGTTTTGATACGCGTCCAAGATCGGCACACAAGCTACTCCACGCTGAATCCAATGATGTAGGTAAGCTTTCATCCCAATCGAGCCTTTCCCTCCAAAGTTGCTGAAGAAATATCTTTGCCTTTGAAATAATCGGACCAATAAGACCAAGCGGGTCATAAAAGCGAGCGATTGTTGACAAGACCGAGCGTTTGCAATGCCTTTTAGAAGTTAGCGCTGGTGAAAATGCGAACAGCAGGCAGGATTCCAAGTAAGTCCAAGTGCCTTAGTGATGTCGCTTCCATCGTCGAACTTGAGGAGAGTTTCTATATCCTCGGCTGGTATACCTTGAAGAAGATCAAAGTTGTTAGAGCACCACTTGCGCAATTTAAAACGGCCTTTGGCCAGCATATTGGCGACTTGATCCATGATCTCTTTGACTTCTTGGACGGAACTTCCACCTGTAATGAGGTCGTCGACATAAAAATCTCTCCGCAATATTTCGCCTCCGATATGATACAACAGGTGCTCATCGAAGGCAAATTGGTGCATTGATCGCACCGACAAAAATGCAGCTGGTCGAGTACCGTAGGTGACCGTGTCAAGTTTATAAACTCGAACTTGTTGATGCGGCGTATCGCGCCACAAAATGCACTGCAAGTAGCTATCAGACTCCGAGACTCAAACGCATCGATACATTTTACAAATATCGCCCGTCAAGGCGACGGGAAATGTTCTAAAACGCAGCAATATATTGAAGAGCCTAGGATGTATTATAGGCCCTGTCATAAGCACGTCATTAAGCGAGTAGCCAGACGATGAAGCTGCAGAACAATCAAACACGACGCGGAGTTTAGTAGTAGTGCTGTCTTTCTTAAAAATGCAGTGATGGGACAAAAAGTACTTGCAAAGATGACGATTTTCCTCGCTTACTACTGACATATGTTTCAAGTCTAGGTATTCGTGAATGAATTCAGTATACTGGGCCTTTAACTGTGGTTGGCGCTCCAATTTGAGCTCAAGATTCAAGAAACGACGAAACGCTTGTTGATACGACTCGCCCTATACGTCTATGTTGGATTTGACAGGTAGGCGAACAGAGTAATCCCCAGTCGGCAATCGAATGAAGTTTGCTTTGAAGTGCGCCTCGCAATCCAGTTCCTCCTTAGTGTATTTAACGGCAGGGGAACAGCAGCTCTCAAGCTCCCAAAATCGACGAACTAGCTGATCAAGTTGAACAAAGTATTCATTGTCGATATCAGATGTAGATAGTGCGGTTAGCGACGATGCAGTTCGCGATTGAGTGTCGCCACCTGTAACCACCCACCCTAACCTGGTCTTCTGAAGTAACGGCAGACCAGACGCGAGCTTGATTTGTCCAACACACAATAGCTCATAGAAAAGGCTTGAACCGATAAGCATATCGATCCGCTGCGATTTGTAAAAATCCGGGTCGGCCAAGCGAATGTTGGATGGAATGTCCCACGATGCGATGTTCAGAGTAACATTGGGTTGATTGTCTGTTATGCTAGGAGCCACCAATGCCATGATGCAATTTGAGTACTCGGAAGTTTGAGAGCGAAAATTGATGTCAACAGTGAAGCCATCAGACTGGAACCTAGAATCGCTAAGACGACTTGGTTCTCCGTAGCTGTAGCTGATGAGCAAGACGAGATGTGATGATGACCCGGAGTCGAGCAGTGCATGGCATGGTACCCATGTACCAGCATTGTTCTTGACGTTAACAACCGCATTGGCCAAGAGCACTACATTATAACTGAGATTCTGGGTAGTCGAAGAAGCATACGAAGAAGGTGAAAGGGCAGCCAAAGTGCGTTGCGCTGGTTGTGTGGTAAGTTGCGACGACGGTTGTGTATTTTGCTCTGCAGAAGTGGTTACTTGCCTGTCGGAATGTAATAAACTATGGTGCTTGGCACCACACGAGCGGCATAAGCCGGCATTAGCTGCGTTTTTTTACTCATTTCCAGTAAAATCCAGTAAAAGTTTTTACGAATTTTCATGTTTTGGCGTTTTCGTACGCAAAAACTTGCAAAGTAGGGGAAATTGAGAGAGCGAAAAAAGACAGCTGAAGTTGCAAGTTTTTACTGGATTTTACTGGATAAATTTTTACTTGTAAAAATTTGCCAGTACGAAAAACAGCTGATCGCATGTTGCTGGATGAAATTTAAACTAATAAGGAAACTGTTTGTGGCATTTTATTGTGGAAGTTCACAAAATAAACATATTTAAATTTAAAATATATTGTTTTATTAGGAATATGCTGCGAATAAACAACCAATTCATCAGCTGTTATGAAACTTGCAAATTATTACTGGAAAAGCGTTCACGTACTTTTTTGTAAATTTTTTTATCTGAGAGCGAATTCTTAGAAATTTAGTTACTGGAGAGTTGCTGGCAAGTTACTGGATAATTTGTAAAAAAAAACACAACTATTGCATGCTCTAAGCTGGTGACCTCTTCGGAGGCAATTCAAACATAACGAAAGCCTTTTGGCTTCCTTCAGACGTAGTTGTGGCGTTAAGTTACTAAAACGGCTGCAGCTATATATAGCATGGTCTGTGCTTCCACAGAAAGCACAACTATTGGATACGTTAGTAGATACGAAAGATTTTCTACTTTAGTTAGTAATTCTACTGGTCTTGCCCACCTGAGAAATGCGTGTGTTTGCTTCTATGGAATGCTCAACGTTTCCAAGTTTTTGACACCGCTTCTCCAAAAAGGCCGTAAATTGCTCGCATGAAGGTATAGTATCCAATCCAATCCAATATGGATTAGAGAAGTATGCATAAATGTAATTTATTTTCACTTGGTTTGAATATTGTAATGTCGACACATTTGAAAAAAAAAAAATTTAAGCCGAAATCATTCATTCGTTTTGTATATGAACAATTCATAAGCCGTTTTGAATGAATTCATGCAGCCCTCTAATTTTTACATACATATGTACATACATGAAATTTTCACATCAATTTCCGCAATCTTCAAACTCATGGTCAGTGATCGGCCTTTATAAAAATTCTGTATGGTAGATTCTGGAAAAAATGTGGTAGATTTAGAAAAAAATGTGGTAGATCTTAGGTTTCGGATCAAACTTTTTACAAAAATTTAAAAAGAATCTGCATAGTTTCACCTTAACTGAAAGCTTTTTAATTCGAATCTCTAGAAAAAACCTTTAACTTGGGTTTTGCCAATTTTGACAATCCTCAAGTAAACGTAAACAACACGTTAAAAACTTTAGATGCACTGTAATGTGCTAACTTTCACAAAAATCGCCGATTTTTCACATTTTTCTTATTAGTTCTCTTTCTAAATCATATACACCCCTATTGCGAATGTCGACTGGTAGTAGATAAACGACTATTAAGCGATTATCGATTAACGATGCTATTGCGAGTGTCACTTAGTCGCTCAATTAGCGACTGTGAATACTTTTTAATCGCTCATCCTTCTATTGCTGTTTTTCAGTCGTTGGAGTTTGCGTTTATAAAATTTACGTAAGAAAGTGGTACTATAATGCATAAAAAGTAAGTCAATTGAACTAGAAGTTGTAAAAAATTGTGAAATATACATATGTATGTATGTGTCTGAATTACAGGTCAAAAATTGTAAGCAACAAAAGGCAAGTTGCGCGGTTGGTTGTTTTGATGCAGGGGAGTGAGGACATATGCAAAGGAATTTCCGGAAAGAGTAGGGGAGAAAGCTCCGCTTCTATTGTGAAAGATATACAATACTTCTTGTGCATAT